AGAGAGAGAGAGAGAGAGGCTTGGGGAGAGAGGTGGGCTTGGAGAGAGAGGGTGGTTGGGAGGCGATTGATTGATTGATTGATTGATTGATTGATTGATTGATTGGTTGATTGATTGATTGATGGATTGATTGGTTGATTGATTGATTGATGGATGGATTGATGGATTGTTTGATCGATTGACTGATTGATTGATTGATGGATTGTTTGATTGATTCGATTGATTGATTGATTGATTGATTGATTGATTGATTGATTGATTGATTGATTGATTGATTGATTGATTAATTGATTGATTGGATCGGATTGGATAGATTGTTGGATTGTTTGATCGATTGATTGATTGATTGATTGATTCTTCTTCTTCTTCTTCTTCTTCTTCTTCTTCTTCTTCTTCTTCTTCTTCTTCTCTCCCCACATCGGTAGCCATAGCCAAAGTTCACGTTTTTTTTTTCTGCAACTTATTCTTCTCGGTCTTCATCTTCCACTCCCGTTCTCCTCCTGCAACTGTAGCCGTAGCCAACCTTTTTTTTTTTTTTTTTAACTAGTTCGTTTTCCTCCTTTTCCTCGTCTTCTTCTTCTTCTTCTTCTTCTTCTTCTTCTTCTTCTTCTGCTTCTTCCTCTTCTTCTTCTTCTTCTTCTTCTTCTTCTTCTCCCCCCACATCGGTAGCCATAGCCAGAGGCGACAATTTGTTTTTTTTCCAACTCATTCTTGGCGGTCTTCGTCCAGCAGTCCCGTTCTCCTCCTACAACCGTAGCCAAAGCCACAGCCAACTTGAGCCAAGCCGACTTTTTCCTCCTCATCCTCCTCTTCTTCTTCTTCTTCTTCTTCTTCTTCTTCTTCTTCTTCTTCTTTTTGTCATATCTCACCGGTGGCCATGACGGGGGGCGACGAAGAACGAGGCAGTCGGCGAAGAGCAATGGCAGCGGCAAAGGCTAAAGGACCTGCAGTGCCTGTTGTTGACAAGCCTGAATCGAGTACGCGAAAGACGACATCTGCATTGGCTACTTCAGTTGGCGGGGGAAAGGAGCCCACCCCTGGAACCGACGCAAGCTTGTTCCAGGGGAAGAGTGAGGCGGATCATGTTGCGCTGCGAAAGAAAAACAAGGTTTGGCTCTAGTGTGAGCAGGGACAGGAGGTAGCCACATCGAAAGGGAGGGGGGATTACTGGGTCAGGTGCAGGTTGTGCTCGACAATCTGGAGGGGGTCGGCAAGCAAAGCTGCCGAGCATTTCTTGAAGCCGATGAGGCCGTGTGCACTGCGGACAGGCGAGATAGTCCACACTTTGGTTGCTGGTGGTGCGAAAGTGCAGCCTAACGACAAGAACACGAAGTAGTTGTTGAGGAATTACAAGGGAGGTGAGGCCGAATCGGATGTGCATCGTGGTGATGCATCACATGGAGAGGAAGGTTTGGAAGATCCGCAAACAGACAAGCCCCAGCCACCGCCTGTTGCAGGGCGGGCAGTTGCCGGCATTGCAAACATGCTCGCCGATGCACTTGATGAGGCTGTCGACGCTGGAGGTGCAGCGGAGGGCGGAGGCGGTGAGGAAGGGCAAGGGTCAACAGCACGAACGATTAGCTTGAGACAGACCACTATGCGACGTTGGGTGGACAATGTGGCGCAGAAAAAGCTGGACATTGCGTGGGCGGAGGCCACGTTCAGGGCTGGCATTGCTTTCAATTTCTTGAACATGGACAGGACTCAGACGTTGCATGCCGTTTCCCTGGAGGTAGCGAACGCGAGGCCGAAGGTGAAGCTACCATCATACAACTACATGAGGACGATCATGCTGGACATCATCTACTTGAAGATCCAAAAGGAGGTGAACCCGATGACGAGGTGTTGGGACTCGACTGGATGCACGTTCATCACTGACGGGTCAATTGAGCGCAAGAGTCGGCCAGTGATGAACTTCTTGGCGGCGGGGGAACAAGGGGTGGTGCTCGTGACGACGGTGACAATGAGTGGCAGGAAGAAGAATGCAGTGGCGTTGGCGAAGTTGTGGGAGCAGGTAACGAGGGAGATTGGACTGCAACGCATCAACGCGATCTGCACCGACAACGCCGAAGTTAACAAGAAGGCGGCGCAGATCCTAGAACGACGCAAGGACAAGGACGTGGCGAGAATTTTGTGGGTTCCTTGCGGGGCACACTGCTGCAGTCTCCTTCTCAAGGATTTGGCCAACCTGTTGTGGATCAAGGGCACAGTGATAACCGCGAACACAATCATCAAGTTCATCCGGAATCATCACGCCACACACGACTTGATGATGACCGTCGATGACTCGTTGTCCTTACTTCGTCCGACAAAAGTGCGGTTCGGATCGGTGTACCTGATGCTTCAATGACTAGCAGACAGAGAGGATGTTATTGTCACGATGGTGGATGGGAGGGCGGCGTCAAAGTGGAGAGCATTGAGATGGTTAGGGAAGAAGTTGCGCAGGAGAGCCGACCTCGTGTACTACACAGTGAGGTCAGAGGCATGGTGGCCGCAGGTGAGGAAGATTGTGGACATCATGCACCCGATCTTCCAGTTGCTGAAGAGAATGGACGCAGAAGGCACGCCTCCCACCAATCTTGTTGAGTACGATGATATGATTCGGCGGAAATTGACGAACGTGGTGCTGATGCAGAAGGAGCGGGAGGATGTCATGGAAAAGGTGCGTGACCACGTGCTAATGATGAGGCAGCCGGTTCATGCACGTGACCGCGTGCATATGATTCGTTCTTGATCCTCGGTGGCCGAATGAACGCTGGCTCTTCGATCAGAACAATGCAGTGATGCAAAATGCAATGCGCTACTTCTTGAGGCAGATTGGGGGTGAGTGGAACAGCGAGGAACATTCTGACTTGTGGGCGGAGTTGATGGAGTTCCAAAAAGAGTCCGCGAGGGTTGCGACGGAGCAAGTGTGCACGGAGCCCGGGAAAGCTATGAAGAAGCGCAAGGATGAGCAAATGTGGAAACAACCGGTGGTGGACATGTGAGGAGGCTTAACCCTACGACCTGGTGGGCAGCACATGGCAGGGATGTCCCAACACTTCAGGCAATTGCAATCAAGGTCATGGGGATGTGGAGCACTGCAACCCCCGCTGAGCACAACTGGGCCTCTATGGACTTTGTCCACACGAAGAGACGAAACAGTTTGTCCCCAACATCCCTCGAGAAGCTCGTGTACATACACTGGAACATGCAGTTGCTGCGAGCTCGACACCACAAGGACAGCGGGTTCGTTGATGTCTGGGGTTCATTCTTCGAGCCAATCATGGAGCCAAAACAGAATGACGGGTTGACGCTGGCGACCGACACTCAGGATGCTGCTGAAAAAGAGGATGAGGAAACGAGGCAAAGAAACATGGCGAAGGCTCCAAAAAACAGGATCCCCCAAAACCTTCTCGATTCCGACACTAGTGACAGCAGCGACCTCGAGGATACGGTGTGGAAGGGGAAGTGCTGGAATGAGTCATCATCGGAGGACTGTGGCGAGGACGAGGACTCCGATTTCGAGCTCAGTGTGGTGCCTGCAGTCCCAGCGACCACGTATGTCGGCAGGCGAACCAGGCCACAGGACGGGGAGCTCGAGCTTGAGCCTAAGCCGGTCGTCGAGAGAGTGGACACGGACGTAGAGTTTTTGTTGCACCGCTACGATGACCCGGACGAGGAACCTGTGCGAAGGAGATGGCGGACACGGATTGTGAACTTGTGGAGAGGCGGATCGCTGAGGAGGAGGCCCGTCGTGCAGCGATCCCTACACGCAGGGAGAGCGAGAGGAATGCCGCACAACAGGAAAAGCGCGGGGGCGGGGCCCTGAAGGAAATGGACGGGAATGTCCAGCCTGCCGTGGAGAAGGGCGAGCAGCAGCAAGGGGAGCCTGCACACGCAGCGGAAGAACAGCAAGCACCAGTTGCCGTGTACAAGCGCCGGCTCCGCGCATGTGTGGAGCAACAAGTCGGAGTGGAGGGAGAGACCACCGACCAGCAGGTTGCAATTGGCGAGAGGGGGAAGGAGCAACTGGAAGAGCAGCAGGCCGCAAAGGACATCGGCACACCCCCTTTCCCTAAATTGAACAATGCTCTCCACCATGACAACCTCTGGAAGAGCAGGGCAGGCAGGAAGAGAAAGGCAACAGCGGAGTCCCCCGAAGCGCCCCGACGCGGCCGTGGAAGGCCCAGAAAAAAAAAGGCAGTCGACAAGACTGCATTGCAGCACGGGCGCCGCAACAGTAATGCTCGCAAGAAGCGTGTCATTAGTGACGATGACCCGGACAGTGACGGCAGTCCCCCGCGGTCACTTGATGGGGGGATGAGCCCATGCCACTCCGATTAAGGGACCAAGGGACAGTTGTGTGTTTGTGTGTGTGTGTGTGTGTGTGTGTGTGTGTGTGTGTGTGTGTGTGTGTGAGAGAGAGAGAGAGAGAGATTCATTTTATGAACAGGAATGGTGATCCCAAACTCCCCAGAGCAAGTTCGGTGCTGCATAACTTCTTTTTATATGTCTTCTTCTTCTACCACTTTTTCTTCTTCTTCTTCT